CATTTGCTGCATTCTGCTCAGCTCCACTTCTTACTATCTGTTAGCCTCACTCTCTGCAGACTAGCAGGAGATGAGACCAGACCGGGTAACACGCCCAAAGCACCACTGTGGTGGGGTAAGGCTTCCAATCTGCTCCTTCTAACTTGAAGCACATTCCTTCACCATGTCACTTCCTCCTTGTCAAACAAAGGAAGACTCTTTGCCCTAGCTTCAGGGTTTTGTTTTGTTTTTTGACATGGAGTCTTGCTCTATTGCCCAGGCTGGAGTGCAGTGGTGCGACCTCTGCTCACTGAAACCTCTGCCTCCCGGGTTCAAGCAATTCCCCCGTCTTAGCCTTCTGAGTAGCTGGGATTACAGGCACGCACCACCACGCCTGGCCAATTTCTCTCTATTTTTAGTAGAGATGGAGTTTTACCATGTTGACCAGGCTGGTCTCAAACTCCTGAGCTCAGGTGATCCGCCCACCTCGGCCTCCCAAAGTCCTGGGATTACAGGCATGAGCCACTGCGCCTGGCCTCTAGCTTCAGTGTTAACCTTTGTGCTGCTTCCTGTACCCCATGAGGCTGAGCATGAATAAGGAGCCAAGTTTCTAAAGAGTCTCCAAACTCAACAGGTACAGAGATACTGCCCTCAGCTCTGTTTGTAGGTGTCATGTAAGTAGCGATTTTCCACAGTTTTCTTACAAGTCATGATTCATAAGCCTAAACAGGAGCTTTCAGCCTTCGTGGATCTTCATTTCCCCAGCCTAATCAGGACTGGGTCAAGCCAAATCCAAGACGCAGAGAGAAACATTCCCACTTGGCTTCTTTCTGTTCAGTCGCATGACTTGGTGTATGTGGATTTAGAAGTGTCTCTATTATAAAATATAAAGGCTGCAGAAGTTATCCAACTGCTCCTAAAGAATTACAGGTTGAGTGGGCTGGCATGGTGGCTCACATCTGTAATCCCAGCACTTTGGGAGGCTGAGGCAAGCGAATCCCCTGAGGCTAGGAGTTCAAGATCAGCCTGGCCAACATGGCAAAACCCTGTCTTTACTAAAAATACAAAAATTAGCTGGGCGTGATGGCATGCACCTGTAATCCCAGGTACTCAGGAGACTGAGGCAGGAAAATTGGTTGAACCTGGGAGAGGGAGGTTGCAGTGAACAAAGATCATGCCACTGTACTCCAGCCTGGGCGACACAGCGAGACTCCATCTCAAAAAAAAAGAATTATAGATTGAGTATCCCTAATCTGAAAATCCAAAATGCTCCAAGATCTGAAACTTTTTGAGTACCAATATGACACTACCATGGAACATTTCACACATAATAGTACTTTAACTTTGTTTAATGCACAAATGTATTTAAAATATTGTATAAAATTACCTTTAGCCTCCATGTTTAAGATCTATATGAAACATAAATGAATTTTATGTTGAGATTTGACTCTCATCCCAAAGATAGCTTATTATATGTAAATATTCCAAAATCTGAAAAAAACCAAACACTTCTCATCCTAAGCATTTCAGATAAGGGATATTCAAACTATATAAACAAGGTTGCTTGCATTAGCCAACCAGAAAAACAACCAAAAAACACTTTACCTTTTCCAAATGCCCATGTCCTCACTCAGCTCTGATCATCAGTAACTCCATTGATCACTGTGTGCTTTCATTCTTCCTGTCTGATGACAACTGTCCCGATGGGATGGGCAGAGTGTCAAAGGCTAGCCAGTAGGTTTCCTGTCACCTAAGAAAGCAACAGCCACCAGTGATCACTGTGTCCCCATTCAGGGTCCCACAAGTCTGTGCAGTCACGCTGTCAGCCTTAGTAGCAGCATTCAGACTCAAGTTATCTTGCCACAATCCAGGCTTAACAGGGGCCTGGATTGTGCTCAAAATCACCATGAATATAAGGAGTCATTTGAGGGCCTTCCTGTCCAGTTGTCTGTCTCTGGTGGTGCCCATGGCTGTATGGGTCCTGGGACACTCTGCTTACCCATTCACCCACTGTGCATCATTTTCAGAAGAGTAAGCTGCATCCTAATATCCCTCAATAATCCAATGTGTTTCTTTTCATCTCTGAATGATTAGACCTTCCTGGAATTCTGTTTGCAGCTGATAGGAATCCAAGTTCTAGGTTTCCTGCCTACTCTTTGGTGAAGCATTTTGCTCATTAACCACCAAAACTCACTCAGGCTGGAGTAGTCGAGTCCGCTTATCATAGGAACACATGAGTGGAGGGCAGCAGTGGGTTTGCCTGCCTTAGTGGAATCAGGATCCTTGATTTAAGGAGACTATAAGAGAAGCTAGCACCAAGTAACCCAGTAGTAACCTACAGTTGCCTTTCTCAGCTGGCAATGCCTTTCTCAGCATTTCCTCCTTCAAGGAGATAGGAAGAAGCAATAACCCTAAGAAATCATCAGTATCATCATCTTAGTTTCTGATGAGGAAACTTAAGTCTTCAGACTGTTAGGTATTTTGCCCAAATAGGTGGCTATTCTTAATCATCACCATCGACAATTTGCAACCAGACTATTTAGAGCCTCTGCTCTTCAAGGCTCAAAGGTTACATAGCTGGTAAAAGCAAGAGGCAGGATGTGCTCTCAAGGCCAGCTGCCCACAGAGCCTTGGGTGGGTTTTGCTTTGTTCTTTCTAACTGTCTTTTGGCTCATTGAAAGTAACACAAGGCCGGGCACGGTGGCTCACACCTGTAATCCCAGCACTTTGGGAGGTCAAGTTGGGCAGATCACCTGAGGTCAGGAGTTCAAGACCAGCCTGGCCAACAAGGCAAAACCTCGTCTCTACTAAAAATACAAAAATTAGCTGGGTGTGGTGGTGCACACCTGTAGTTCCAGCTACTCGGGAAGCTGAGGCAGGAGAATTGCGTGAACCCAGGAGGCGGAGGTGGCAGGAAACAGAGATTGTGCCACTGTACTCCAGCCTGGGTGACAGCACAAGACTCTGTCTCAAAAAAGTCTATATACAACCACAAGGTTAAAAAAAAGAAAAATGGCAACAGTATGCCCTCTGGATGCAGCTCTGGGCCAGCCTCTGTTCTGGTGCCACACCCACCTCCATGCCAAGGGACCCACTTGGTAGCGTGAGACCCTCATATCCCTGTGGTGGCATTCTACATGACAGACAAGGGAGGGGCAGAAACATTTCCTCCGCCTGCACCAGTGCTAGGAGCCCTGGGCCCTGAGATTACTGATCAACTCCTCCACACAGATCTGGAAAGGAAATGTGAGAAAAAGTAGGATACTCCAGAAGGACACACATTAAAAAGTACATTTCCTTACCACTCCTGGTGCTGGTACTCCATGTTACTTCTCAGGGGCAGTCCTCCAGCCCTCTCCTAACCCCCGAGTCCTCCTTAGACCTGCTGGTTTCCTCTACTCCCTCTAGATCCCAGGGTCAACTGGCTCTGCCCAACTCGGAGCACTTAACACATGTTCCTGGTAGGGGGTGCCATATTCCTGCTCATCCTATCATATGCTACTTAGACTGTTTCTCCAGTTCTTGAATATATGAAATGTTGTACAGAAGATCCTCAAATAATGTCATTTTGCTATAATGTTGCGAATGAAGAAAGTTGATTCCTGGCCGGGCCCACTGTCTGTGTGGAGTCGGCCCATTCTCCCTGTGTCTTCATGGGTGTTCTTCAAGGACTCTGATTTTCTCTCACATCCCCCAGCTGGGCACCTGAGGTGAACTGGCATGTCTACATGGTCCCAGCATGAGTGAGTGGGGGTGTATATGAATGCACCCTGAGATGGAACCGTGTTCCGTCCAGGGCTGCTTCCCACCTGGCACCCTGAGCTGCTGGTACAGGCTTCAGCCACCCTCGACCGTGAGCTGGAATAACAGGGTTCGAAAACAAATGAATCGATACAAATTATTGTACAATAAAAGCTTCATAAAGTCTACGATAATCATACACATGCAAGAAATCAGAGAGAAGGGAACAGACCAGCTGGTGGAGGCAGGCCTGATTGCGGTGCCATGTTAGTGATTGATTGATAGTGAATTACGAGGTGGGAGGAGGCACGCCTTACAATTTTCACTTCGCGAATGTGTATTACTCGATTGAACCCACCACCACTACAACTGCTGTTACTCACTGATTCACCAAAAATTGAGTAAATAATTTATCTTACTTACATTTGTCTTTCTTAAATGTATGTATAGCTCACATTTGTTTCAATGTTTAATATTAGAAGTGTTTTGGGTCTTTATTTAGAAGTTTGGTGATGTTTTTTGACAAGAAATGTGCCATAGAAACTTAACTCTTTATTAATATCAATTAGCCTGTTGTAAAATTGGTTTATTTTGTCATTTCGCTTAACGTTGCAGTTTCTGAGAGACTATTCACGACACTAAGTGAGGACTTACTGTACTTGTTTTCAACCAACCAGCACTAAGTCCCTACTGAGGACATAGCACGATATGAGGTGGTATCAGAAGTGTCTGCAGTCTTCCTTGGCATGATCTTCACCTCAGAGCGTCAGAACCTTGCCATTGAGATAAAAGCAGCGCTCATGAAACAATGTCATATTAGGTAACTGCCAAGATAGGGTAGACACAGTGCATTTGGAATCAGAGAAGGGAACAGACCAGCTGGTGGAGGTTTGTCTGAAGATGGGCCTTGAAGAGCAGAGGCTCTAAATAGCCTGGCTTCAAAGTGTCGATGGTGATGATTGAGAATAGCCACCCTTCATGGGCAGGCGTGGTGCCAAGCTCATCATAAGTATGACCTCTCATCCTGGAGCCCTTTGTGGAAGGCAGTGCTCTTGGTTCCCATCTTGAGGTTGAGTAAGCTGGTGGTTAGAGAGGTCAAGATCTGGCCTGAAGGTATATTCCAGCTGAGCCCCAACCCAGCCCATCCATGTGGCTCCCAACTCTTCCCCGTCCCTGTGCTCTCCCAGTGTGCCGCCTCCCATTGCCAGAGTGGTTGGCAGAGCTGGGGATCCCCAGCTGTATCCTTGGCGCTGTGGCTGATGGCTTCATTGTCATTCTAGGACTTCTGCCATGGGCAAGTGATGTGGCCGCCCCTCAGTGCCCTGCAGGTCAAGCTTGCTGAGCCCGGGCAGTCCTGCAAGCAGGTGTGCCAGGAGAGCCAGCTCATCTGCGAGCCCTCTTTCTTCCAGCACCTCAACAAGGACAAGGACATGCTGAAGTAAGTGCCCTGGGGTGGGGGTGGGGCTGGGGACTGAGCCCCTAGACTCCATCTGGCCTTGTGGGGTAGTCAGGTGAGAGGTACAGGTTTCCACTTCCAAGCTACTGGGCTGTGGGGATAAGGTGTGGGAGGGGAGTATGTTGCAGCAGGATCCCCTGAGAGTTAGCCCAGTGTTGTTACTGTTCCTGTTGGGTGAGATGAAGTCACCTGGCGTGATGATGTGTTTAGAATTGGAATGGGGGTGTTGTATTTGCATCAATAAAACTGTATCTGGGTTTGAAGATTGTGGGAGGTGTTCAGCTTGCTAATGTTGACCCCAAGAACAGTGGAAGTAGAGGTGGGCACAGAGTCACAGGCGTAGATGGATCAGCTCTTCAGACCCCTGCTGGCAGCCAGGCCCCCAGCAGACTCTGAGCAGTGCAGGGGGCTGGTGGCTAGTGACATTGTTCAACCCTGGAGTCAGAAAGGAATGAGAAACATGGAGAAGGAGCTGGCACAAAACTGCCCACAACAATTTCCAAGAGCAGCCTTCTCCTGCGGCCTATTCTCTTTTGCAGTTTCTTCTAGGTCACTGGCACATGGTACATCTCAGGCCCCAGCAGACCTGAGTCTGCGGGGTCCCTTGGTAACGAGGTGGGTCGCCACTGGGAACGCTGGCGCAGGGCTGCACAGGGAGGCGCCTTCCCTGAATTTCTCACCTTGTGCTTACGTTACTTAGTGGCGCCTTTCCTTTCCCTTTGCATTGACATTTTCAGTTGGGCATTTGCAGTTCCCAAATTTCCATCTGAGGTTTCTTCTGACCTCTCACCCATGACCCTTGACAGGCCTGAATCCATTCTCTCCATGTTTATCACACCCCACCATGGTCCACATACTGCATAATTTTCTAGCCTCCCCACCCACCCACCACCTTAGTAGCTATGATTAGGTGTTTTCTCCAAGAGACTAGCCCAGAAATAATAAGACCCTGCTCTCCCAACTCCAGATATTCAATCTAGCAGGTATACCATTCCAGGCTTGAAGAGGATGTTTAGGAAGTGGAGTGGACCTGGGGCTCAGGGCTCACCTGTCCCTATTCTGGCTTCACGCCTGTTAGTGCTGTTGGCCACTGTTGTTATTTGTGCACCATGGTCTGAGTTGGCCTGTTTCCTGTGAGTCGTCTTATCCGTAAATGTGGTGTAAAACCCTTTGTAGGGAGAGTGTGTGGCCTCTTGTGTCCTGCCTGCTGCAGGGAAGCTCTCATGAGTAGGGGTGTGAGCTATGCTTTTTTTTTTTTTTTTTTTTTTTTTTTTGAGACAGGGTCTCACTCTTTTGCCTAGGCTGGAGTGCAGTGGCGTGAACTTGGCTCACTGTAACCTCCACCTCCCAGGTTCAAGCAATTCTCATACCTCAGCCTGCCAAATAGCTGGGACTATAACTGCACGCCACCACGCCCAGCTAATTTTTGTATTTTTAGTAGAGACAGGGTTTTACCATGTTGGCCAGGCTGGTCTCAAACTCCTGGCCTTAGGTGATCTACCCCACTAGGCCTCCCAAAATGCTGGGATTACAAGTGTGAGCCACTGTACTCGGCCCTGGTGATGCTATTTTTTTCCTGTTCTTTTTATGAGAAGACCCAGGCACAGAAGCTGCCCTGATTACACCATGAAAACAAAAGCATAGGCCAAAAGTGGGGACTCGGGGCAGCACCCTGCTCTGCCACCAGGCAAGCTTTAGGGAGGGGGTGGTGGTCCGGGATGTCTGGAAAGCCTGTGATGGTCCAGAAGCTTCCAGTTCCACAGCGCAAATCTTGAATTGTAGGATTCTGAGGGGCTTTCCACTCGCTCCTTTTGCATATAGCTCTTGGAGCGAGGTGGCTTCTTGAGAACCCTGAGTCTCTCTGCATCAGAAGTCAGAATTCACTATTTACAGACTAGGGACTGTCTGCATAAGCCCACTTCCGGAAGAAGAGATATGAGAAGCGGCATCCTGGCAATGGGACCAAATGGGACTCCTGAACAGCACGGCTTCCTTCCTGGCCAGGCAGGAGTCAGGGCTCTTGGCCCAGGGACTCTGCTTAGGTTCTAGCTAGAAGTAGCACGGGGCCCTACAAAGGCAGGCCACCTCCAGGCCAGGGTCCAGGTCAGGGAAGGCAGGAAGGAGAAAGAGCAAATGGCCACTTCCCTCGCTTCTGCTAGTTTTCTCATCTGTAAAATGGGGATATCCTAGGTGATGGGTAAGATAATGAACAGCCCTTGCCAAAGACAGAGTAAAACACCCCTTTCTTCCAGAGAGCTTTGGGCAGTGGAGTAGGCCCGAGGCCACTGAGCCAAGACGGATAAGCCAACCCCAGCCCTGGCCCCTCCCCACCTCCATATCCATGCAGAGTTCATGGGAGCAAAAGGGCTTGGCATGGGACTGTCCTGAGGCCAGGCCCTGTGCCATGGGATCACTTGACCCCACCCCCACCCCCTACCCCACTGTAGAGATCAGGGCTTAGCAGGAGGCTGGAATGAATGCTAATTTTGCAATAAAGCCATCTGAAATTAATTCTCTGAACATAAGAACCCTGCTGAATAACTTGTTCATGCATTTGTAAATACTGATAATGTTATAAAACCCCAGCTATCTGGCAGTCTATTGAGTGCCTGCTCAGTGTGGAGGTGATCCTGGCCCATCCATATTCATAGCCAATTAGCAATTAGCAGTTCCTGCAAGCCAGTACTGCCTTTGTATCTCCAACTTGGAGCCTGCTTTGAGCTAAGCTTAAGTTCCTTTTTCAGTCTTTGGGTATCCATAGCGTTTAAGAACCACCTGTCCTTACTCTATAGTATGACTTTAGTATATCACATCAGGGGAATCCTTTGGAGTGTCCTGTGTTGTCTTGAATCAGGGCCATTCAGGAAACCAGCCTCGGGTTCTTGTGCATGCAGGGTGCAAGGGCACAGTTAAGCACTAAAGAGGCCACCACAGAGCACGCATGATTCATGTGTGACCCACATCCTCTGGACAAGTCTCCTCCCAGACTGGAGTAGGTACTGGAAGATGGAGGCTCCAGGAAGTGCCAGGGTCCATTCCAGTGTGGCCCAGTGGAGAGGACCTCAGTTCCATACACAGGGCCATGTGTTCCTGCCCAGTTTGTAATTTTGCTACCTCTTAAAGTTGTTTCTTCTAAAATGTTAAATTACTGGCAACTGGGGTTGCTCTATGCGAAGAATTACAAGCAGTACGGTCTAGACTGTGAGTGCTTTGTTACCTGAGAGAGGGAAGGTGACCCTTCGTAGGCCACCTGTTCAGCCCCGCACCATGTTGCTGGGGAAGACAGTGGCCCCAGCCCCATCAGGCAGGGCCAAGGGTAGAAGTCATCCAGGGACTCTGGCAAGACCCTGAACTTTTTGGTAGAAGGTTCTGATTTGGTATTGCTCCTGCTGCACTGAGAGCATCCCAGTGGAGTCTTTGCCAGGTGGGGCCTGGCGAGGCAGAGCCAGAAGGAACAGAGCCCTCTTGAGAGGGGGCTGAGGGAGGGAAGGCACTCTAGGGAAGGGGCAGGAGGGAGGGCAGGAGCAGCAGGTGAGACAGCAGCACTCGCCTCCTGTCCAGTGCATCCTGTCCTGTGTATTATAGATCTGTGTCAGGAAGGGACTGGTGACTTCTCAGCTCATTGCCTGACTTCAGGTGAGGAAGTGTGACCAGCCCCACTGGAGGAGGCTTTGCCTCTTCTTATTCTTCAAGAGCTATAAATTGTAAACTGAGACCTGATGAGCCCAGAAACTTTAACTCCCATCCTGTAACATACTAGGAAGAAAGGAAGATGGCACACTGCGGTGGGGTCTCTGAGCAGGAGGATGTGGGTGTTTGTGAGACAGACATTGCCGGGACAGAGAGGCAGACACAGCACCATGCACCCCGTGGAAAGGCAGGGACCACCTAGGGACTGAGGATCCTGGGCTGCAGAGGCTGTTTGGTCTCCATGTGCTCTAGCGACTGGGGAAAGCTGCTTTTCCTCACTGATGACCTTTGCTCGCAAGGATAATGGAGTCACCTTCCTGACTGCTCCGGGCTGTAGGATGGGCACATGCATGCCAGTAAAAGGGAGAGCTTAGAAGGGGGCTTAGAAGACACTGGGGCCAGGGAGTTGGTTAGAGCCCTGCATTCCACAGCGCCGCATCCACCAGTTGAACCCTCGAGGAGCTGCCTGGTGTCAGGTACCTGTGGCCTGGTGAAGTGTCTGCTGCTTGAGCAGTCTGCGGTGGTCTCTGTGCATCACCCCAGGCAGGCTTCTGCTGCTGCAGCCTTAGCTGAATCCTGCTCACAGACACACACACACATGTGTGCTTCTGCCCTGGGAGATGGTGGCCTAGAGCCTGAGTCCAGGTGACCCAGGGAGCGGGCAGGAGGGTTTTTCATGGCTCCTGACAATGACACGCCTCGCCATGGGGTCTGAGAGTCGCCATAGAGATTCCTGTGCTCTGGTTAGCAGTGTGCCGGCAGATGGTTTAAGTAAAGCCACAGCAGCTGCTGTAATTCACCTAAAAAAAAAGGTCGTAAGTATAAACCTGTATCCCAAGGCCATGTTCCATATGTAAACTTGTCATTCAGAATTGAGTTCCAGATATTTTTCTTCTTGTTGTCCGGTTGAGAAATTCTGTGAAGGACCTGGTAGCTGCAAGTCTCTGACTCATTTTTCCTTTTAGGAAATCCATAAAAATCGACTTCCTGCCCTCTCCCTTCATGATTCATGACCTCAACTCCCTGGGCATCACCACCTCCCAGCTGGCATCAAGAGCAGGGGTGGTGGCGTATTTAGGGTAGTTGCAGCACTCTCCTGGTGACTGTGGGAGCAAGAGAAGAGAGTCCTGCTCTCCTGAGCAGGCCTGGGCTCCTGGTGCAGTTCACATGTGCAGGAGGCGCCGCAGGCTCTGGGGGAGGGAGGCCCGAGCACCAGTGACATGCTGAGTTCCAGAAGCAGTTGGGGCTTCAGCTGCAACTGAGCAGGAGCCAGGCTAACAGCCTGGGAGATCTCACCAGAAGCCCCAGCAGATGTGCAGGGAATTGCAGGATTAATGTTGGCAAGGGAAGGAAGGCCCCAGGCAGTTGGTTAGCTAGAGAAAGACAGGGCAGGAGTACGAGAGAAAATGATGCTTTACACACACATACACAGGCATACACATGCACGCACACAAATACACACAAGTACATAAACATGCTCTACACACATGCTCACGTACACATATGCATACATACACATACAAGCCCATCTGGAAGCTTCTCTGAGGCAACGAGAAACCTCAAGCTCCCCATCTTCATCCCCTCCATGTCGGCAGAAAAATGAGACTTCCATGAACCAAGTGAAACAGAAATGGTTGGTGTGTAAATTCATACCACTGGTCAAGCAAGAGGGGAGGTGGTATAGTCCATCCGGTGTCTGCCAAGGCAGGGTGATGATGACGGTGACCACGATCCTAATAATGATAGCTGCCATTTATCGACTTACTTAGAGCTTGACTCTGCCATATGCTGTAGAAGCACTAAATTCCTGCAGTAAAGGATTATTTATCCCCGTTCTATGGAAGGGAATCTGAGCCACAAAGTGGCTTACTCATTTGTCCAGGGCCACACAGCTCCTAAGAGACAAAGCCAGGACTCAAACCCAGGTCTGCCCGGCCCCCTGACACCACCTTCTCTGGTCTCAGGTACAGCATGGGTTCCCACCTAGCATTCATGCAGGACACCAGGTGAGGCCACCGCCTCCTTCGGGAACCAAGGTGGATGGGGGCAATCATCCCAAGTTGGAGGGAAAGATATGAGATAAGAGGCCAAAACTGTTGGGAATGGAAACATCAGAATATCCTTGGCCCCCCAAGCAGTGGTCCCAGCCAAAGGAAGCAAAGCCACCAGGCTCCACAGCCTGAGACCACTCAGCTGTTGGGAGAAGATGGCAGAGGAGCAAGAGTGCAGGACTGGGGAGACAGGGCCTGCATTCAGGCCTTCTCTGCACATCCTGAGGCCTCAGTTCACCTGCTCTAACTGGGGTTACCATTGCCATGGCTGAAGGGTGGCTGCAAAGACCCAGGGAGGCGATGCCCCAGGACAGCACCTTCTGTCTGATTGCTTTCCAGCAAGAGGCTAAGGCCATATAACGGGAATTTTTTTAAGCCTTTAATTAAAAAGTTAAACATACTTTAAAAAAAAAAACATGTAAATAATGCTTAGCTTTGCCCCATTCTCACTTCTTGGAAGCAGCCATTGCTAAGGCATTGGCATGTAGCTGTCTCAACTTGCAGCCTTCACCTCTCATGTGCACACCGCGGGCTGATTGCTCTGTGCTTCCCATTCTGGGACTCACCTTTCCCCAGGGTGACTCTCCTGCTCCTCTCTTCTCCCTCATTCTTTTTCAATGGCTGCAGGGAACTCTAAAAGCACAGAAGGGCCATGATTTATTTGGCCATTCCCTGCTTGGTGAGTATTTGGGTTGTTTCCAGTTTTTCTCCATTGCAGACAAAGCTTCACTGAGCAGCCTCAAACACACACCCCTGCACACACTCCCTGGTGCACGCATGCCTTCCTGAGTCTAGATGCCTAGAGGTGGAGGATTGCAGACGCAGAGGGTGGGCACCATTTCATTTCTAAAGCAGGACAAGACAACTGAACATCCCACCATGCCTCAAGATGGGGGCTCACAGGGCCAGTGACAAGGACAGGCTTTGTCCCTTCATCACCAACCCTTGTGCCTTTCTCTTCCTCTTCAGGTACAAGGTAACCTGCCAAAGCTCAGAGCTGGCCAAGGACATCCTGGTGCCCTCCTTTGACCCCAAGAATAAGCACTGTGTGTTTCAAGGTGATCTCCTGCTCTTCAGCTGTGCAGGCGCCCACCCCAGGCACCAGAGGGTCTGCCCCTGCCGGGACTTCATCAAGGGCCAGGTGGCTCTCTGCAAAGACTGCCTATAGCAGCTACCTGCTCAGCCCTGCACCATGCTGCTGGGGAAGACAGTGGCCCCAGCCCCATCAGGCAGGGCCAGGGACAGAAGTAATCCAGGGACTCTGGCAAGAGCCTAACTTTTTGGTAGAAGGTTCTGATGTGGTATTGCCCTTGCTGCACTCCGAGCAACCCAGTGGAGTCTTCACCAAAACAAAACGAGAGCATATGTCAGGCCAGGAGCCTGGCTTGTCCCTGGCACAATGTCATTTCTGTTTCTCAAGGAGCAACTGTGGGAAGACTGTCACTGCAGCTGCTCCAGGGCAAAAGAAAGTCTCAAGAGTCCTTTAAAGCAAAACAGAAGGAATTGAGCTGATGGGAAAGAACTTTGAATGGGAACATTCCTAAACCCATTAACTTATTTATTCGGGTGGGAGGGAGGGGACCACGGGAGGGAGAGGAGGGATTGATCACAGGCTTCTTTTATTTCCACTGTTAATCATCCACCTTCACTATACTGTTCTGTCTGCTTTGGGCAGGGTGCAAGAGAGAGACCATGTGCCATGGGACTGGTGGCGTGTTCAGGGACAGCCATGGGGACTTGGCAGCTCAAAACGGATGGCAGCAGAGCAAAAGAAACTTTTGTTTTGGAAGCACAGCCGAACTCCCCAGGGCATTGTCATAGATGGCACCTAGAGCATGGGCTGCTTCAGTCGGGGGGACGTGCCTGTATTGTCCAGAGAGCCCAGCCAGGGACTAAAAAGGAGACGAGGCCCCTTTCCTCCATCTCCCCATGACCAGACACATACCTTGGCCATAATTTATTTTAGAATCCCTTTGGGAAAGAAATACGGGATTGAGGGATTTTGGAGTTTCTGGTAAACTCACCCTCCCTCCAGCCCTGCTATGAGGAGGAAAGTAGAGATGAAGGACACACACTGCTCATGGACTTGGAGAGGATTGTCTTTCAGCCAAGATGTGGACAGGAGTGAACTTGGTCCTTAAGAACGTGTAGCACGACCAGAGCTGGGCTCCTGACAGGTGGGCTTGTGTTGTGTCCCCTCTGATGGCACCAAAGTCCAGGGAAGGGGGCTCTTGATGTCTGCTGGGGAAGCAGGGGCAGCTCAGGATGAATGCAGTGCCCTGTCCTGGCTGCTTCCCTGAGGGTGTAACTCGCAAAGGAGGGAATCTGGTGCTGGCATTTCCTTCAGGCAGGATCACTCTGACTTGTTGAATAATCAGTCAGCAGGTTGACCTGGTCAGACACACTGGACCTCACCTTCCAAACCCTGGACCCCCCATGCTCTGCCTTTGTGTAAGTCCCCACCCCACCGAATCATTGCTGCCATGTTCTGTACAAGTCTGTAAGTTTCTGGAAAGCCCCTGACATCTCCATGCTGATGCGAGTGAGCCCCCTTCTGCCTAATGTGAGCAGTTGGCATCATCCACTTGGCCCCTGCTGGGCACTTCAGTCGCTCAATGATGTGCTCCGCGCCAGGGCTTCCAAGCACCCTGCCTGCTAACAGAGGGTAGCCCGGTGGAGCCCTCTGCTGGGCAGAAGTGATGGGCAAGGCTTAATGGCTGGTGGCTTTCAGATGTGAGAGAAAGGAAGAATTCTACTTCATGAGGACTAGAGTAAGTGTGGGGCCTTTAAGTCTGGAAAGTTACATTCTGCTTCTTTCTCAGTTGCTACACAAATATGCAGCCAGCCTTTTTTCTTAGGCCCACTGAGATCCCAGGGGCTCAGTGGGTCTGAATCATACCTCCAGTCTAAGAGAGTGGAGGAGAGAGGGGGGTACCCGGGGCCGCCTCCACTCCTTAGGTGGCCCCTAAGAACATCTGCCAGGGAGAGTACCATGGGGAGGCCTCTGCCCTGAGCATCATCACAGGGACGCCTCCAGACCTGGCTGAGAAAAGCCTCTGCTTGGGCCTAGGAAGAAGGGCAGAAGTCCAAAGGAAACCTTGGGGGTGTGTGTGTGTGTGTGTGTGTGTGTGTGTGTGTGTGTGTACGAGCCTGTGCATTTCTTTAAGCTTAAAGTGTGTGTGTGTGTGTGTGTGTGTGTGTGTGTGTACGAGCCTGTGCATTTCTTTAAGCTTAAAGTGTGTGTGTGTGTGTGTGTGTGTGTGTGTGTGTGTGTGTGTGTGTGTGTGTGTGTGTACGAGCCTGTGCATTTCTTTAAGCTTAAAGCAAGGGCAGTTTCCTGCAATAGGAGGGCAGATGACTGGCATCCTTGCTGTGAGGAAGAACTTTTTCCTTGTGAATGGGCATCTTGGCTGTACCCTAGGGTGTGGGAATTTGCTAGAGTTCCAGCCCTGCAACTCCTGGGCTCTTCCAGGAGCATTGAACACTGACGATGTCAATGCAAGCATCTGACCAACAGGGGGAGCCTGTAGGCCGAGCAAAGTTTAACCCACTTAGCCACTGCTACTTAAGCAAGGAAGCTGAAAAGTAACCTTAGCCCTGCCTTGTGTTCCAAAAGCTGCAGGGATCATTTGCTGACTGTCCCTAAGTTCAAGGCCTCCCTACCTTCCCCTTCTCCAAGTCACGACTCCCACCCCCCGCCTGGGTCAGGCAGCCCAGAAGAGCACCTTTCTGCCATTTAAAAATCCCTCTTTCGTCCGGGCGCAGTGGCTCACGCTTGTAATCCCAGCACTTTGGGAGGCCGAGGCGGGCAGATCACGCGGTCAGGAGATCCCAGCTACTCGGGAGGTTGAGGCAGGAGAATGGCGTGAACCCGGGAGGCGGAGCTTGCAGTGAGCCGAGATCGCGCCACTGCAGTCCAGCCTGGGGGACAGAGCGAGACTCCATCTAAAAAAAAAAAGTCCCTCTTTCGTGCCCCCAGTCCAGTGTTGGCTGGAAGCGTGCCGGAGTTCCACCGGCAGGGCAGCTGTTCTGGGAGCAAACAGGCCCACACTCCAATTGTTTAGGGCATTTTCTGAAGAGTCAGTGACCCCTGAATGTGTTCTGACTCCCAGGCCTCCTCAGACTTGACCCAGGTCTGGTCAGTGATCCTGAAGAGGAAACTGGGGAGGGGGCTTCCATCTGCCCTGCGTGGAAGAGGAGAGGAAGGTGCCCCTGACTGTGGGCTGGGAGCCTGTGGAGGTTTTGCCATTGCTGATCTTGATAGAATCCTAAACCGATTTATAGCTGATAACAGTTCCATGGGGAGAGAAATCCTAAGTTATGATTAATGTTTTTCTGCGCTATAATGTCTTGCCTGTTTTTTTGGATTATTTTCCCCATTGTGATCCTAAGCTCTTAAAAAACTTGAGAGAAAACATCTAATTTACTAAAAGAGAAAGCTTTCCATTGAAAGGTAAATACTTTGAGGAGTAAAAAGACTTCTTTGAATGCCAGTAAACACCTCATTTATTTGGTGTACGCAGTTTGATTTGCACATGTATAAATGGAGATGCTTTTTTTCATTTTTGCTTGGACTGGGTTTTTGTCACTGCTCATTACAGTTTGCTTTTTTGTGTGTTTGTTGTGCGTTTGGAGATATTAGTTTCTTTGGTGATAATTTGTTTCCTTGATGTGCCTTTTCACTTTTCTTTGGGGTTAGTTTTTGGACTCTGGATGCTGTTGAAGGGCAATAGCAGACTCCTCCAGCTAGGAGACAGGACATGTTCTTGAGTCACTGTAGCTGTTCAAGCTGGACACCAGAAGCTCCCTGCAGCCACCCCGCCAGGCCATAGCGTGTATGCATGTGCACTTCCACCCGCAGCGGAGGGTGTGAAGCCTTGAGAACCTCAAGAAAGGGCTGGATTCTGCCATACCTTCCGGTCTACCTTGGGACTGCTGGTTGCCAGTGTGTCAACCGGCCTGTGTTCCCTGCCACCCACGCACTTGCTGAGGTGTGGCTGAGGCAGAAGCATGTGAGCAGGTGCATCCACAAAGTTCAAGGCCCTGCTTGGAGAAGAAATACTTCAGCATCATGACAGGGAGAGAACGTGCACCTCTTTTGTTTCTTTAGTGAATGCAAGACTTAATGAAGGTGAATAATGAGCTTCCCCAAGGCCAGTTCAACTCACTGGCAGGGTTGACATCAGTATGACGTGTTGGACTGAAACTATATGTCTATAGGTAGGTACGTGCCTTTTAGAGCAGACCCCGGTGGCCACCCCATTTCTCCAAGGTGGTTTACCTAGCTTGTGTATATAATTAGACATTGCCACCCTCACCTCTGGCCAAAAATTCTTGATTTAAAAAAAAAAAATCTATTTTGTTAACGACAGGCTCTGTTGTATGTGTTACTATCCTAAGCCTGGATTATTTTATTTATTTAAAAGTATTGTCATTTCCATATTGGCTTTATTCTAACCCCATCCATCCCTGTGGGGCTGCAGAGCATCTTCATGTGAGTAGACAGATGGACATAAATAGATTCCTGCTCATTTAGGAAGCTGAGAGTTTCATGAAGCTGAGGGTGAGTTCCTGTGATTCTTGTTGGCTTCAACAAAAAGTGGGAGACCAAGTTTTTATAGCAAAAGACCAAATTAGTTGTAGAGTCTGGAATGCAGAAAAAAAATCACCCTAGCTTTCTTATAGCACGTAGGGTTTTGTGAGGATTCAGTGTTTAGCACAGTGCTTGGCACATAGTAAGCCCTAGTAAATGTTAAATATTGTTATTAGTGTTTCCTAAAACTTGAGAAATAAAGAGCTGAGCTCATTCCCTTCCTATTGATTCAAAAATACCTACATGAAAACATGATTCCAAGTTGATTGAATATTGTAGGAATTACTGGTTTAGAGTAGCCCAGTTCTCGGCCTACCCTGCTGGTTGGGATTTTACTGTATTCTTGAATGCACTGGTTTGAAAATATGCCAGACTTCAGCCCTCAAGGAAATAAGGCTGCAAGAATTTATGAACTCCAGCTGGAAAGGGTAAAGGTGACCTTTGGCTAGCAACATACCGGACCTTACTCCACTGATGTCTTTCAGAACATTCCAAGGGTTTTTCTCAAGGAACATTTTTGAGCTAGAAATTAAAATGGGTTATCTGGCAGACTGCACCTCTTGAGTCAAAGTTAACAGTATTCCTTTGAATGCAGTAAGGGAGGCTTTTCTGCGTTAAGGGGGACCAATCGAACTTACGCATTCCCCAGGCAGGTCCCTTTGCCGCCCCTACAGGCTGGGGTGGCCCCTCCTGTCCTCAGGGATGGGACTCCCAGTCTGGTTAGCTCTGCATGTATCCGTCAAATTAAAGGTTATTCCCTGGCCTCATGCCAGAGAAAACCAACCCCACCCTGCCAGCTGGGGGCAACAGGGCAGGGATTTTGGCCTCCCAGAACAGCTCCTAGAGGCTGCTCATGATTGAATGATGTTTTCCCAAATCACCTAAATATTGGTTTGCTTTTTGTTTTGGGAGAGGATTTGGCCTCTTACTTCCCCAGTGGATTGAAAGTTTTATCTCCTGCCCTGTCTTGGCACAACTCTGGATAGACTGCAGGTTGGAATTTGCTGGAGTTTGGTGTCTTTTTCAAATTCCTTTGGATTCTCTTCAGCCAAATCAGCAGTCTCGTCCTATGGATGAGGTGATTGCAATTTCCCATCTGCAAAGCATCTCTCTAGCCCAGATTTTGTGGAGCCTTAAAATACTCCCTCGCTGCCACCCTGACCCCACAGCTGGAGAACCCTATGCTTATGTGGTGGGCAGGGCCACTGTTGATGGAGGATGGCGAGGAAGGGGTGGTGCTCAAAGGATCTGTGGTGCTGGAGGTCTAAATGCCTCTCAGGACAGTAGGTCAGGAACCTCAGAGCAGCTTCATGTCTGCCAAAGCTGAGAGGGAGCAAACTTGGGAAGCATTTTGCTCACTGTCCTACCCAAGTTTTAATAGCATAATAGTTGATGCCAAAGGAGATGGTGACGTCCCTTCCACTGCAGTTGCTGTCACAACCTTGATGTCTTTAAGCTAATGGCCATTTGCATCTGTGTCTTCAAACAGATCCTGGTTACAGCCATTTTCTATCGTTCACTTCTGGGGTTAAGTAATGCAGGGTTCTGCAAACAAGGTGTCGCTGTCCAAATGTACTGTACTGGCATAGAGAGCACTGCTTTGTTTTCCACTGTTGTAGAGAAAACTAGGGAGAACTTTATTTTTCAATAAACTTTTCTTGTGTGACAGGTGGAAGTGATTTTTGGGGGGCGGGTGCATGCAGGGTCACCTCCAGAACAAAGCTGAGCTGCTGTCTAGGCACATCCCCAACACACAACTTCCCCCAGCTGCCTTTCACGGTTTGCAGCACACTGTTGAAACTGCTGCTAGGAAGACAGGAAGGTGTATGTAAGGAGTGGAAAGGGGAAGGTTTTACTACTGTGTATTCTTTTCCTCATATCACATCCACCACTGCGCATGTTAGGGCACCCTCCTTGCGCTGCCTTCCCCTAGAAGGAAAGTCAATTAGAAAGTGAACTGCTAAGATTTTGAGAAAAATCTTTAAGAATGAGCTAATGGCCCTATAAGGGGCTGAGCACCAGCGTCCATTGGACCTGGAATCGATTTCTCCCTCAAGAGCAGCTTTTGAGCCAGGAAGCAGTGAGCCATGAGCAGTTGGTTAGGCAGATGCCTTGGAGACAGGGAAGGTCTAGTCCATGCCCCACCCAACAGTTTGTCTGCAGGTGACATTGGCCCTCATCTGCATGGCCTCTGAAGCAGGCAGGCTTCCTGGCTACTGCCCAAAACAGAGACCCCACGCAGTTCACATAGCACGTTAGAACACAAGGGAAAGCCAAGTACCTGCGTTTAGGCAACGCGACCAGTGTAGCTTCCCCTCCCTGTGCTTCCACGATGTACAGTAGACACGAGAAAACCAGCGGAAGAGAAACAAAGGATCCTACACTTCCCGAACTTGCTTTAGTTCATGTTACATATTAACATCCATTGACATATTCCTCAGTACTGCTGGAGAAGCCACCTGAAAGCATGGTACTGGACCAAGGTTCCATGACCTCACAGAACAAACTCCCTTCCCTTCACCAGCATGGAGGGCCGACAGGACCCCACAGCTGGAACAAGGCCTGGGCGCAGCTGTCCCTCAGCTCCAGGTGCCAGGTGAGTGTGCGGCCCCTACCTGAGTGGTCAGAGAGGGCAGCCTGCACCACAGTCCATCAGGGTCTCCACGCTCAGTCCCCCTAGGCACAAGCGCCCCCTCCCACATCCTTCAGCCACAGTGGAAAACCTCCCATGTGTTGGTGCCGCATGGTGACAACTCCCAAAGATTGCCTTCCCGTGCTATACAAAACAGGTAAAGGTCTTTATTGGTCAGCCACTACTGCCTGGGCAAGCAGTGGTGTGAGAGGTACAGAACGGTACAGGTTGGGGAACACTTCAGAATCTAAACCTACCGTGACATCAGCTGAGAACGTCTTGTTCCTTACAGAGGGAGCGAACCATCTCCACAGACTGTAATGTACCATTGCCACTTAACACAGCATATAGATCTATGCATATACGGATAGATTCTAATTATTTATTACAAATAAACTTGCACATCTCTCAAAAATGGATCCAGTTTTCACATGGATGTTCAGGTTCTGAGTGTACAAGAAAGGGTCATGTGCTTATTTAATTCGTCCATGCAAAGCTTATACGTATATCACTAAGTACTTTAAAAAATAGAATGGTCTCCTTTTGAGCAAATCTGTTTAGATTTAAGATTAGTAAAACAGTATGAAACTAATGAGATACACTGATAGAAATTAGGAAGTGACATACTGATGATTCCGGGTATGTAAAGGGTGAGGGGTACAATCTTCCCTTAAGACCTGCCAGGAGAGGAGATACTTGGAACCAGGAGTGGCGGGGCCACCCAAGCTGGAGGAGGTGGGTCTGCTCAGTCCTATGCAGCGCAGGCTCAGAGCACCACTGGAGACCTCTCTGCCAAAGGTCTCATCCTACCCGTGAAAACCATCACACTCCAGAGAATTGAAAACGCCAGTCCCAGCTGGAGACGGGGAAGCAGGTCCCCCCATGGGCATTGTCCTAACATGTTTGATGGGGGCGGCAGGTGATGGGGGCAAGGTAGATCCACCTGGCTGGGCAGACCTTGTCTTGTAATGACAAACCATGTGAAAGAAAACTTCCAAAAAGAAACCAGATGTTCAGTTAAATATTGGCACCCTTTGCCTATGTGGAAACTTCTCATCTCGATGGTCTCATGCGGACGCTGGCCCCCTTCACTCAAACATCTCGTAGTGACGTGTCTGCCTCACCCTCGGCACCATGTCGATGAGGAGTCTGCAAAGATGAAGACAGACAAGGTCACCTCCACGGCACGGGGCTGGAGAGCTTGGGGAAGCATATTTTCATTTTCTTTTTTCTGAGATAATTCACATACCATAAAGTTCACCCTATGTGACTGGGTGGTTTTTAGTATATTCATCAATTTGTGTTATCTCAGAAACCCCATGCCCCCTGTAGCATTCACTCCCCCTCCTCCCCACGCTGACGAGCCGTACCCTCCTTCCGGCCTCTGTGGATTTGCCTATTGATATTTTATATAAACAATCAAACGTGACCTTTTGTGACTTCCTTCATAACATTTGAGGTTCATCTATGTTGAAGCGAGTGTAACAGCGCTTCATTCCTTCTTGGGGGCTGAATGAGAGTCTGCTGCATAGATCTACCACATTTATCCATTCATCTGTTAATGGACAAGTGGGTTGTTTCTGCATTTTGCCTATTGTGAATAACTCTGCTGTGAATTTCCTGGACAACTTTCAGTGTGGAGGTTTGTTTCCATCCTCCGGCAGTGTATACCAAGGACTGGAAGTGCTGGGGCAAACGGTAACTCCGAGTTCTGGCAGCACCATGGTCCATTCCCACAGCCATGGAGGAGGGCTCCACTTCCGCCACGTCCTCACCGACGCTGGCAGTTGTCCCTCTTTTTGATGATAGCCATCCGACCTTTCCTTGAGCGATGGAAGCATTTTAACATTTAAAAGCACAGCACCCTTTAGAAATGGTTCTCTGAAAGGCTAGCTCCAGCCTGGGTGCTGAAGCCCGCATCAGTGATGCCAGCAGGGCCTTTCTGCACTGACTAGTCCCCTTTTGCAAGAAGTTCTCTAAGGCTAGGGAAGCAGCCCCTGGCCAGCACACTGTCACATCCCCCACTCGTGGCAGGAGGGGCTCCCCGTGTGAGGAAACCACACAGAGGTGCTTCCCGGGGGCATCGTGAAGACTGTGAGAGAGGAAGGAGCACAGATGTCAGGACACAAAGAGTCCTAAAGGCATCAGACAGAAGTCAAGGAGTGCCTTTGTGGCTTAAAGGCCTGATATCCCTTGTCCTTGCCTCACTTCCGTGCCAGCCCCAAGGATATCTGACCCCTGCTGGGTGCTTTTCCAGTCACCTGACACGGGTCAGGCTCAGGAGGGGCACGGGTATAAAACGTGAACTTCAGAAGCCTTCTGTCATTTCCTGGCTGGGGAAGGTGGTGGAGAAGGGGCACTCCTAGCTGCCAGGAAAGCAAAGAGGAAAGCACAAGAACCTACTTGACCCCATAGGCAAATATGGTGAGGCCGATCAGAACGCCTATGCTGCCGTCCAGGTACCAGACCGCCGAGTCATGCTTGAACACTTCGGCACTCAGAAGAATGGAGAAGCCCATCACGCCGCCCACAAGGGAGTTAAACCCTGCAAAGGAAGCAGAGAGAGGCTAGATGGCAGTGCCAAGCAATCCCAGAAAATTAACCAAATGCCAGTCCTGTCTCCACATAACTGGAGCATGTGCTGGAAGGAATGGTGCCCAAAGCTCTCACGAGTGATAGCCACCACCTGGGCCCATCAAGTCTCTGCTCAAATGTCACCAGATACCTCCCAGAATAGAGCCGTCACCCCCATCATCCTGTACCTGCTTTATTTCTCTTCCGGGCACTGATGCCGTGTGTGGTTTATAGCTGGTCTCGCCCATGCCCGCTAGAACGCAAACCTCCTAGGGGCAGGGGTGTGGTTTTCTGTTGAGTCCACAGTCCCCAGGACAGTTCCGGGCTCACAGTAGACATTCAAATACTTGGGGACTCATATCTGACTGTCTGCTAGGCCAGATTCCGAGTTGGGCGTTCAGGATGTGCAGTTACCTATAAACCTTCTCAATCGTGTGACGTCACACTATCATCATCATCCCTGTTTTCCGATGAGAAAACTAAGAATGAGGTTAAATATATTGATGGGGGTTATCAGGATTGAGAAGGACTGGGATCTACCCAAACCTGCATCCTTTCCCTCCCGAGTCTCCTCTAAGTAACCTGAGGTTTTTTCCTTTCCCTCCAGAAGAGAAATGGAAAGTGTATTATGCTAAGTTTTTTGCAAAATATTGGCTACACGGTTGGAGAAATGGCCATAAAAACAGAACTGGAGCTACTAGATAGCGACTGCCATCTCTTTTCACACAGCAGCCCACTGGGGCTCCCAGCTTGCTTCTACTTTACCAGAGCTGTCAAAGGCCACACAGGAAGAGAATGGCTTAGGGTAGCTTCTAGGGTCTCCCCGTGAAGGATACCAGCTCCTCCCCTGCCCCAACACACTGGTGGCCCCAAAAGAAGCTCCAGGTCCACACTGCCCAAGGAGGCCCTGCCGGTAGATTTGTGCGGACCCGTAACATTCCACGCCAGGCTGGGCTTCCCCCGGGGCAGAGGAAGATTGCCGGGCAGGGGTGACCTGAGCAAATCTGTCTACTCAGGATCCAAGGTGGAGATGCAATGGCTGCTCACAGGGAGGGTGGATGAACCGCGGGCCTGCAAGGGCACCCCAGGGACTGGCCTGTGCCCTGCGACGCTCTTGGCAGTATGCCCTTCTCTCCCACGTGCTCAGGACACCTAGGTTTGGTCAAAGATACCTCATATTCCCCACACCACATCCACCACCCACCTGTAACTGTTCCTACAGTGCCCTGCTCCCCTGCCCACCTCAAAGGGCTTGGTTCTTGCGATGCTCCTCCCTTCCTCCTTCCCAGATTGGATCGGATTGTTCCTACTGGAATTAACCCACCTTCCCATCCCCATTGAACTCTTCTTGGACCCCGCGCCTCCCCCATCTCCTACTGGCCTTCACAAAACCCGCAGAAGAGTCTGCCCGCTGCCTCCACACTCACACCTCTGCCCAGATTCCCTCCTCCCCCAGCCCT